TTTTGACGCAATTATTTTTCCAAGTCATGAACTCCTCAGCCATGTACATTTCTTAAATGTTGAAACAAAACTGAGAATAGCAATTCTCATTCACATTTCAGTGCAGAATGTGATGTAAAGAGCTCCAAGTCTTTTGCCTTCAAACACCTCTCTTGTCACAATTCCCCACAGTGACAATAAATGTATAAAATGTAATTCGCAATATTTTATATTTAAACATAATGTAATATATGTGAAAAAGACTGCTAAAGATTGCAAGAACAAACACTCCATATCGCCTCAATTTATCTCAATTAATCCCATCTTGTAAATGGCACTATGTTCAACACTTTCTGCGCTCGCTCATTAGTTCTTCATTGAGTTGTAAGGAGGAAAAAAAATAAAGACAAGTACCACTGAATGCGCTGAATGCTAATAGTATATTAATGGTTCAATAAAAACCCCCTCATTAGTAAGTCAACAAGACATCCCGATTGCAGCGCAATGCGAATCGATGTGATGGCAAAAAGAGATGCTGCAGAATTCTTATTAAAATTGTGTGAAGGTAATAACTACACACTATACATTATGGTTGAGCACCATATGACTTTAATATCCATTTAGATGTACTCAAGAATCTGGCTTGATTTATTGCAGAAAAATTAATAAAATCTCAAGTTCAAATTGCTTCCATCCGGTGCGTTAATCTCATGTACATTCAGCACTGTTCTGCCATAGGCTGAAGTCAAAATTAACCAAAAGGCGGATCGGCGTATCGCACGATTGGAGGAGGGACAAGTGAGACTCAGAAGTGTTGAATCAAAATTCAGAACGAATTCCGACTTACGTGAGAGCTTATTAATTGGAAACCAATTTGTATTTTTAATTACATCAAAAATTGCAGATAGAAAGGTCAATTGATATGAAATTAAAAAATGTCTTCTCCAAGGAAATTCAGGCTGAAAATGTCAAATGACTGTGGAAAAGAACACTTACATTGATCAGTGTTTCAGGGCTCGTCTCAGATTCAGATTGTTGACTGTAATTCAAAATTCGTGTTCTCAAAATTGGAATGGCCAAGAGATGGAGGGAAAAATCACTGAAATTGGCAAGAAAGAAAAATCCCAAATCAGTCAAATGTGAAATGAAGTATTCCCACCAGATTCCAATCATTCAATTAAGCAGCTGCAAAGCAACACTTCATTTTCCTGAACTCGGCGACTCGGCATCACTGATAAGGAAGGCAAATTGATTGATGTCGGGTTCGTCGCTTAAGTCTTTTGTTTGGCACCCAAACCGCGTTACAAAACAATTGGCTGGGCAAAAAAATAAATTATTGGTAAATGATATAACGCCAAACCAACTCATCCCAATACTATTTCATTAATCTTTTGCACCCATCAGATGAGATACGGAGCCGCGTGTGGAAGTATTACGAAAACCCAGAGACGAACAATCACCCAGTGAGATCTGTCTCGCGTGCTCCTTCTGGGTATCATCTTCACCGTCAAGTCTGTGTTCTAATAACCTCCTTGCGCACGATCACCCATCATGTCTCCCAGTGTGAATATTTCGCAAACCTTCTGCACTTTTTAAATCAACTTTCCTCCGCGACTTGTGTGGCATTGAAAGAGCGAAACCTTTCGCGCCTGTGGGAAGCCGTGCGGACCGGCTCTGGCGATTGTCTATCGTGGCGACGAAATTACGTGTTGAGTAAAAGTGATGTTCACATAGCATTATTCCATTGCTCTTCTGACCCCACTTGACCAATTTCTCATGCTGTCCATAAGTCCATAAGAGCACAAAAATCGATAACACAAAGCCAACGGCAACCTTATGGAGTGCGCCAGAGATCATGTGATGGATGTGACCATTGTGGCAGATGCAATATTTCACGGGGAATTGATATTAGAGAAAACAAATTTGTCACAGGAAGCCACACACCATACAAATAGCATGTCAAATTGGACATGGCGAAGAAAGAGGTGAATGAGGCACAAAAGACTCCTCCACCGACAAATTGAACTACATGAAGCGCATTCATTTCCATCGCTTTCAATTGCTGACCACATTGCATAATATTACCTCTGCATAATTAATTCATTTAAGATACGACGCGGTGTATTTTGAAAGAGGCAACAATTACTATCAACACTGAGATATTGAGGAATATTGATTAGGAGAAAAAACGTGGCATCTTGCAGACCCTCAATGTCTGCATTAGTTGGAGACTGAGAGGATTGTTGGAAAAGAGGCGGACAATTTATCAAATCGTGCGCTCAACAATGAAGACATAGCCTAAAGCGTCATGTATGAAAGACATTGATAAATAATCGATTCAAGTCAAATTACATTCTTTGGGACAAATCACAGATTGATAAAAAATCATCAAAACTTGCAACTTAAACTCCTCTCGGAGTGTAAAATTCCTTTATAGTGCGACTTCAGTGTTCTGTGAAAAACTAATTAGACATCCATTGTGGAGAATTGAGGAAAAAACACTCAACACTGGTAATTTTCCTGCAACCAACAAAGCATCAGCCAATCGAAGGGGTGGACAGAAAAAGTTTGACTGAAAGATATTATAATTTACTTGACGTTCTTCTTCTTATGCCATCATTTCGCAAGCCCCATTCTCGGCTTTGGAGGACAAAAACTGTCCAATCGATATTGGTTCTGCTGGAGATCTCCTTTTTTCACCTCATAGTCACTCTTCATCGTCATTTTCCAATATTGAAAAACACACGTAAGCAGAGATGTGCACAAGAGAGCGCTAATGCAGAAATAACCTGAACTCGTTTAAAGGTCAGAAAAATTGCAAATTGATGTTCTATCCACGTCTGTAAACTTTTGCGCCAGAGAATCCACGATCTGCCAGCATTGGTACACACCTTGAAAATCTCCTCCATGGAAATGCAGCTCGTTTGGTGCACTTTTATTGTGTCACTGGCACATCAAAAGGCATACATTAGGAATATTCGGTATATCCAAATCATACAATATGACGGAGTATTCATTAATTGTCTGACCTATTGATTGATCAAAAAACAAACATTACACCGTCTGAATTTGAATGTTACTTCTTTCGATGCATAGGCAAATTGGTATCGTGAAGAATGCTAAGTGGTTCATCAAAACATGCATTAAAAGTGCATGAATATCACGTCAAGGTGAAAATATGATCATTTCATTATGCGTCAAAGGTACAGTAAAACGATCCACAACATCACGATATTTTCTCTCAATTTTCGGTGCATTAAATACCAAATGGCACTGTATTATGTACTTCTTTTCAGTTACACCCGCAACATACAGAGATCATGCAATCCACTGTGACGTGAAAAATTAGTGAGACAAACGATTCAAATGAGGAAGATATAGGAATGAAATGCAAATACATTCATCAAGTGAAATATAAACAAGTTAAATATAAATTAAGAAGAGATTTTGTAACTGCTAAATTTGCCATATCCCAGTGAAAAATGCACACATAGACACGATGGAATGAGAGAAAGGAAGTGTTTGTTGAGAGAGTACAGAGATGAATAAAGACTCTTAACTTGGATCACGATTCACCAAACAGAACGCGCTTCGCATTGAAGCCAAGAATTCTCATTGAAAGTAAGAGTATGTTACTGGTAAAGAGACCATCAGCGGCTTGCTGATGTTTAGTACAATGTGGAATTCAATGTGATAACAGTTCCATTTGTAAGAAATTCCACATTTTTGCACAGATGCACTCTAAAACTTTTTGTTTCACACATAAGCGCCCTAAGGTTGTCTGTCTGTATGATTGAATAAAGTGAAGCCAGTCGATTTCCCCAATTCTCAACGCGAAGGGGAACTTTGCGAAATCTCCCGCCAAAACCCATAACTCGGCGTTCTCCTTCCTCCTGCAATAATCCACGAGGTCAGGTAAGCCGATACACTGTGTAACATAGCACTTTACAATTGCATTTAATGATGCACAGCCTCACCATTGCAGGTGGAGAGGCATGGGAGAAGATAAAAAACCCACCACACCAATAAATCGAAACAATAAAGTCATTAATGATGAAATTAATTGGCAATTAAAAGAATATTATGGTGAAGAAGAGCGGATAAATAAAAAATAGTCAGGAAAGATGTACAGCGCCAAAGAAATGGGCTATAACGCAACATATGATTGCACATCATCATATAAATGTTTCATTTCGCAGAAGACAGATCACTTGCACATCGCCCAGATCGGCCATTGGTACATCTTCCCCAAGTCAGTGGAGCAGCAGCGCGAATGAGAAGTGGAACTGAGGCGAAATTCAGTTCGGAAAATTGTGCAATGGCCATTGGATGGCCCCAGAGATCATCATCTCTGAGTGATCGAGTGAGTAAGGTGACTTTTTCCACCTGTATCCTCGCGCCATGAGTCGTATTGGAAAATCGTTGTGGCATGAAAATGTCTACCTCAGGCGAATATATAGAAAATTGATTGATGGATTCCACTCATGAGAGGTGCAAAGGAGTGATTTTTCACATCCGCATACATTTTTTTCCACCATCACCACTAACTTCAAGGCGAGAAAATTATGATGAAATTGAGAAGTCACGAAGTTAATTCCCCATTAATTTCCTCAATCTCACGCCATTAAATTGATCACTAGAGACAAATATTTTGTCATAATCTCCTTTATGCCTCAATTGACGAGTGAATTGGCGATGGGTGTGTTTGGATTTGATTGAGATGTTCAATAAAATGCTTTTGAGAAGTGGTAAATTGGATTTATGTGGATCAAGAGTGATGATTGGAACGTTTTCCCTTTATTCAACCAGACTCAAATTGAGCAACAACTCTGCTCGCCTTTCTTCCTATTTGCGACAAGGTGCAGAAAGTGGTTGGAATTTGGAAGACGTGCGACATTCCAATTCCCCACATTGTGGGTGTTAAATCGTCTGCAACGACTGTTGACGGGGCTCTTTGTGGGCGTTTTGGCGCCCGTGTGACAAATTAATTTCCCATTTTTAACGAGACACGTGAGAATAGAGACATTGCATTGGAATATAAAGCGCACGAGATGTTAATTTGAGCAAATATTTGACGATTTGCACTTCTTACTTCAGCATCTCACCTTGCCCATATATTCCATTCAATCAACCTTTTCCCACAAGCATTAGCCACCCGCTGCAATCTCGCACGCTTACGATTGTTGATTTGATGAATTGATTACTCTACCGAGGAATGTTTTGTCGCATTTATAGGCATACCGGAATGATTTATCGTTTGGTAATAAGATGGTGCGTTGAGTTTGATTTATTTAGATCGAGAGAGGTCACGCTGCTGCTCATCTCGAGAGCCCATTAATTGATGGTCTCCGGATGCCTCATCGCCTCGCATCTCAATGGTGATTGCTGACTTTGAGGCTTCAGCATAATCCCATCATACAGTGCTTCCTGAGGAACAGCGTCCACATTTGGAATATTCGGCATGGGCAAAAATTATGTTGATGAGCGCGACCTCGATGTCTTTCATGTTGCATTAGCCAACAGCTTAACCACCGCATTGCCTAATGGAAAGGGATTAGAAATGAACCTTCATTGCTGATTCTAATTAAAATGATCATTATATTGAAAGTTCATCGATCGATCAACGAGGATTTATGGTGTGTAGTGTGAAAAAGTCCATTACCGTGCCGTGTAACAAGACTTTTGCCAACTCACCGTGAATCTAATGATAATCCCATGTGCGTCCAATTCATTTTACTACACATTTCTGACGGTGATGATAGGAGAGATGAGTGCAATTTTTTCAAATTCCCCACAGTGCCATAGAGCACGACCTGAATCATCACTTGCTAATCTGTCACGTTCCATCGCCTTTTTCACCCAACTTTGCAACGCCATGCAATTAAAAGTCGTTTTGTCAAGATTTATCACACCCACTGTGAAATTGCAAGAGTGCCGCGCATTAGTCAGATGCTTTAGTGCATTATGTATGAAATTTTTCTGTCAAATGCTGCTTAAAAAATTGAAAATATGCATTTTGAGTCACTCCATTGGGATGCAATCTTTCGACTTTGTTATGCTAAAAACTGCAATTCATCTCTGTAACCATTCTCAGCACAGAGTGTGCCAAGTCGACAGTGCTATTTTGTTCAAATTAATGAATCTCTATATAAATTGAAAGCCTCCCCTGCATTTCAATTTATTCACTCTGTTGTGTAGAAAGGAAAAGTGCAAACATGCAACTGCCAAGGCAATGGTAAGGGAGGAAGGAAGGAGAACATGACTTAATTCACGCATTGAGTCATGCACAGTTCTCAATGAAGATTGCATCCTGAACACCTCATCCATCATCTCTTTACACTGTCCTAATCATAATTCACTCGGTGCGCATCTTCAACTCGACTTTTCCCATTTTTCTTTCGCACAAAAACAGGTGATGATTTGCAAGGCTTTTTCATCATACGCGATTTTTCTCTAAACTAACATAAGCACTGAGACCAGAATTGGATAATCCATTAAAGTGTGTCATATTCACACGTAATAATTACACACCAATTACACATGGCATTGATGCTTGTGCCTTTATATCGTGCGCAAATATATTCAATTAGGCAAATGTCGAGTCAGAATGTATGTACGCTTAAAAAAATGACAAAAGTGTACACTTCTGTAAGTCCCTGGGAGTCTCACATATTATACCCAGTGGCTCAGATGAATTTATGTAATATTTGTGAAAGACAATTCCGCTACAAAACGCCGCGGACATTGGCATATTGTTTGGCGGGAGGAAAATCTCAATATCTATTATTATTGTTCTGGCGCGCGAGTCTTGATTTATCGTCGATACAGATCGATGGCGCAAAACTTCGCGGATATTTGGACAAAATTAACTGGAAGCTGCGATGACAACATGAAAGTGTTCATCATTGCAACACACCCTCAATTGTAATCCTTTCGAATCTTTGACAATTACATAAAATTGCCTTTCTGTGCTATATTTAGCAACAATGATCGATCATCGCGATTTGATCTCAGAGCTTTGACCATGGTACGTGCGACCGAAGCCTTCCCACCCAGGAATTTTGCAAAAGGACGTGAAGAAAATCTCTTTGCTCTGACATCACATAGAATGATGGAATTGCTCTGGATTTCAGAGATGATCTCAATTCATGCGAAAGATCATGGATTTTCATTATCTCAGAAGTGATTGAAGGTCTCTCTGAAATGTTACAATTAGCATATTAATTTGTGGCGAACCTTTTAAGCACTCTTCGACACCATTTTGCATCCAATTCGACACAGAGTCGAGAGTTTGTGAAATTTCAAACCTTTCCAACCAATCAAATACAGACATTTTGAGGAAGAACTTGATTCTCGCAATAGTTTTGGATATCGTGAAAAATTGAAATGACTTTTGGCAAGGTAATATGTCTGGAAATTGCAAAATTCTCAGCAAATAGCCGCAACATCTCTTATTAAATTCTCACAATAATTCATTATTATGTCACTTGGGGCTATTTAATTTCATTGATTGATGCCAATTTGCGATTAAATCAATAAATATTGACTCAGGGAGCAGAAATTGAGATGCAGCATGAAGTTGCAATTCACCAAATGAAAACAAAACGCTCAGCCAGGAAAAAAACTGTTATGCTATTCATCTTCAATTAGTTTTTTTTTATGTGGATCAATCTTGAAATTACACGGAAATTGCGATGGTAGAAACAATGTGAATGATTGCTGATCAAAAATACACAAGTCGTGACAAATAAAGCTAATTTTTTGGCGGTTAGAGAGAGAGAAAGAGAGAGAAAGAAAGATATCATGAACATACAGTAAAGAAATCTTACAAATGGATGTTACTACATTCTTTCTGTGATTGACTTTCTTTCTTCTGTTTCTCCCCATTCGACAAGCTGAAATTATAACGCGAGGATTGCATTATCAAATATCGCTTTGACTCGTATTATGCAATGTGTGACGGTTTTATTGTTTCATCGATATAATGTCGCAGAAATGTCTCATCATTGAAGAGAGGATGATGTTTGACGATTGACGTGTTCTAGCGTGTGTGCAACTTCGAGATCAGCATGATGGATTGAAAGGCATTGAATCACGATAAGAATTGTCGCAAGAAGTATGTGGACTTTCTATATTAAATCATCGATTGATTTCTGCAAAGCATTCCATCTGATGGTGCCATTAATTGGAATCTCACAGAGACAATCTAATACGAGAATCATCTGCTTCTCACTCTTGCCATTGTGAAATATACCAATTGTCGCGCTTCTTCTTTCCCCCAAACCATACAAGAGGCGCACACGGGCAGAAATATATGGGATCATCGAGAGCATCGCTGCACAACCATTGATTCTCGAGGCTCTGCCACATCAACGTGGAAATTAAATTTGTCATTTGCAAAACAATCAACAAGGAGAGGAACATTGATAGAGACACGCTTCAATTTGCATTTGCAGACACACAAAAGAATGATAATTTGACATTAATTTGAACACCACACATCGTCAGATCCATTGAGGAGTTGTGATGCTCTTTAGTGGGAATTTCGTGCCGTCGCATTCAGCCTTTGGAGGGCAATTCAACACGGTTCCCGTTTACATAACACCTCTTCGTCGGTCTTCTTTGCCAGGGCAGAAAGATAAGAAAGAGGAGAGCTCGCAAAACATGACCAAATTGTTCCCCATCCATCCCTATCCAAGCCTCTCATGCTCGCTATGTATGTAGAGAGATGAGTGTAATCTAATGGCATTATTGTGGCGAGGAAATTTTCAGAATATCTCACATATTCACAAAGTTACGAAACGTGATGGAGTAAGTAATGACTTTTCAAATATCACTTTTCCCTAATACGCGATGCAAGCATGTCGAAAAGACCCTATATGATATGCTCTGCAGGCAGCAAAGTGAGAAATTATCATGGATCCAATATACAAATATTCAACGACTTCAATCATTCATTTATTTTGATGAACTTTGAGTACTCATTGAGTTCATTGATAAAATTATTGATGCTGTTGTTGTTACCAAAAAGCATCAGCGGGTTCAGTGGTCTTCTATGGCACGTTATTGCGAGTTCTTGTGCATTCCTCTTTCCATCTCTTGTGCTATCCTGAAGTTGCTTTTGAACAGAATATTATGGCGTGTCCCCCACATTGCCGTCAATTGTGTTTATTCAACGCCAATCCACGCAATTGGGCTTTGACATGGCCAAGTGTGCTTGCTATGCGATAACATTTTAATGCAAGTTTCAGATTTTTCTGCACGCCTAAACCTCGTTCATAGCAAAGTCCCAAGTTGAAGGCGGACGAAGCATGGCGAAGAACTGTGGCGGATTTCAGATGAAAGACAGCGTCTTTGAAATGCTTCGATTTTATATTCTTCATAGCGAAATTGAAGTGCGTTTCTGCAATTAAGCGTTTCATATTCTGCGCGGCTTCTTGGAATGTCATTATTTCCGATTCAGCCTCATATTCGCTGATATTGCATGTGTCAAACATCATTCTTTTTTCCTGTAGAATTTCTGTGTCTCGACGCAAGCCCTCCAATACTTCGCTAGTGTCTCTATCAAGTGCATTTCCGTGCTCATCGCGCCAGTCATCATTGCCAGAGTCTGGATTTGAACTCGGATCGTTTTCTTGAGAACGTTCTTCCTTCCCCACTGTGCTCATTTTTCCTATCTAACCCTTATTATAAAAGACTTGCATTGTTTTCTATGATGCAATATCAATTCATTTATTATCACTAGTGCACTCGCATATGAGATAAGCCCTTGGTGCAGAGCAAAAGCTCACTACATTTTTGCAAACTATCGTAATTACTTCATTGTGAGTTCAAATCTGTGCCTAAGCAAATTTTTTCCGAGAATTATTATTGAAAATGATCACGAGAATGATTAATAAAGAAATGTGTAATAAATTATCCTTCCCAAACATGAAGATTCGCTTAATTTGCTTACCATTTTCCAGTTTAGTGGTCATCTTTCGTCGCTCCTGGACAGTTGGCAAGCAAATCATCCATATCATTGTACTTCACGCCACACCAGTGGCAAAAGAGATGCATTGAACGCAGGTAATTGGACAACATGTCCAGTTTTTCAGCCGGCTACAGATAAGTTAAAATAATTAGCCAAATCCTTGGTTAGCCAAAATCGATATTTAACTACCTCAAAGTCCTCCTCTTCCTCCTCATCGTCCTCCTCTTCCGTCTCTTCTGTGTCTTCCTTGCTCTCCTTGGGCTTCGGTGGCCAGAACCACTCCATTTCCGGTTCTTCTGTTCCCAAAGAAGCATCAAGCCTTTCACACGTTCGCTGGCATTTTCTACAAGAATCACGTAAATATTAGAAAATTGCTAACGATAGTCTTTTGAATTTGCATACCCCAAATCACTCTCAATTTGTTGATTTTCCGCCTTCCGGAACATCCTATTGCGGAACTCCTCAGCAGACACCGTTCCAGTTCCTGCTCTCTCCAGTAATCTCTGCTTTAGGATCGCCTGCTTCTTCTCCTCAAGCTGCTTCAGTGCTGCATCTCGTCCTAGACCGCCACGGCCAGTCTTCAGTGTGATGCCAATGGGTTCTACAATGCCCTGACTTCCGGATTTGCCAATGGAATCGCCTTGTTTGTAGCCCATCTTTGCCAGGAGGGCGAAGCCTTTGTTCTCAGTCGTCAAGGCACTGCTGAGGCCTTCCTCCAGACGCTCCCTCTCCTTCACATGGCTGGGCTTGTACTTATTTCTCTCCTCCTCGTCGAACTTCATCTTCTTGGCCTGAACTTCCACTTCCCTCTGACGCTCCCGGTTCTTAATCAGTCCCGGACGGATGTTTGGCACGTTCTGTGCTAGAAACTTGTCCGACATATAATCCTCCTCGTCAGATGACATTTTCTAAGTCAATTATTCAGCGAATTCCTGGTCAAAAACTGTAAAAAGCGCGAGAGAACGCGATGTGAGCCAATTGAAAACAACACTCCCGGGCGATTTGACAGCGCGTCAGTGGTGCTCCCTAACCTAACATTTTCACGTGGTGTTCTGTTTTGTTCCGCACAAATAATCACTTTTGGACACATTTTTGTGAAGAATGGGCAATGTAAGTATCAAGGATATCTGTTGAAGATTCTTTTCCACTGACTTGAGCTGTAAATTACAGAAAAAGGTAAAAATAAGCGCAGCAAAGAGGACAAAACATCTCCATGGGAAGAAGAATGTGGCTCCCAATCAGTCGAAGAAGAAAGCCCCCGTGAAGGGCAAACCGGAGGTGAAAGGAAAGCCTCTAGCGAAGAAATTAGATAAAGGACAAGATGTGCGGCATGGGAAGCTTGGAAAGGGAAAGAAGAAGCGGCCAAAACACTTGGGAATGCCGGAGATTCATGGAGAAGTCTCGAGTGATGTCGACGATGTGATGGACATGATAGATGATGAGGATCTCTCGTACCTGGAAGAGAATTTCGACGGGAAAACTGAAAATGGTAATGCTGGGAAGGCCAAGAAGGGAGATAAGAGGAAAAATACCTCAGATATTTCCCTGGACAGCCATGAGAAGAAGTTCCGGAAGGATTACCAGGAGATTCGTGCCGTTGAGGAGAAAACTCGTCAGCTTCTGCCCATAAAGACTAAACAAGGCATTATTCCTCAATCCATGGTCGTCAGTGACGATGATGAAGACGCTTCAGAGGAGGAAATTGAGGAGGCTGCAGAGGAAAACGATTCGGAAGTGAATGATTCCGATGACGAGGTCATCCGGGAGTACGCAGCTGATGGAACGGTGATCAAGACGGAGGACACTGCGGTATCTGTGGCAGATTTACTGATACACCGGGAGCAGGAGGTGCAGAGGCAGAAGTTCCGCATTGGAATAATTTGTTCGGGCATTTTGGAACGTCCAGAGGAGAGAGTCAAGAACTTCTCCTCACTCTTTGATCTTATGGCACGCACCAGCAAGGAGGGCGTCGTCAATCTCATCTCTGTGAGGAAAGTGGCTCTTTTGTCAGCCCTGGAGGTGTTCAAAGACATCATCCCAGAGTACAAACTCGGCGTTGTGGAGACGGAGAATGTGAAGCTGAAGAAAGACACTCTGTTGCGAGTGACATTTGAAAATGTTCTCCTGCAGCAGTACAAGAAGTATTTGCAGACTCTGGAGATGATGACGATGGCAGTGTCTAAGAAGAGAAGCAATGGAGATGGTCCACTCACTCCTGCTAAGATCAGTCTGGCTGAAGTGGCCACGAATTGTATGTGTGAACTCGTCCTGGCGCATCCAAACTTCAATTTCAGCACAAATATTGGCCAGACGCTCGTCTATCTCTCCAATAGTCGCTTCCCGAAGATTCGAGAGAGGGTAAATGGATGCTTCAGAACGATCTTCAAGACAGACAAGAGGCTGGACTTGACTATTCATGTAAGAAACGGTGTTTTATCAATCTCACTAGATATTTATGGGAATTTTTTGATTTTCAGATCATCAGGAGGATTAATCATCTCGTGAAGACGAAGCAAAACAACGTCTATGTAGAAGTTCTCACCAGCCTAACATCTCTCTACATTAAGGACATCAATTTGGACGCTGAGAAAGAAAAGGAGATCAAGGAGAAGAAGTTGGAGGCGCGCAAGAGTCGCGTGATGAATCTCTCCAAGAAGGAGAGAAAGCGTCAGAAGAAGATGAAAGAGCTGGAAAAGGAGCTACTGGAGACGAAGGCTGAGGAGAATAAGGAATCCAGACAGCATAAACTGACAGAAGTCACCAAACTCATCTTCAACATCTACTTTCGCATCCTCAAGAACGATCCCAACTCCAAACTCTTGGCCACGACTCTGGAAGGCTTGGCAAAGTAAGAAAGTTCCCGCCTGAAAGCTTTATAGAGTTACTTATGGAATGTCTTTACAGATTTGCACATGTGATCAATCTGGAGTTCTTCTCGGATCTGGTGAATGTGCTGAACAACATCATGGAAACTGTGGATTTGGACTATCGAGAGCAACTGCACTGCATTCAGACGGTTTTCGTACTGCTCTCGGGTCAAGGAGAAGTGCTTAACATTGATCCTATTCGCTTCTACAATCACCTGTATCGAAATCTCCTGGTTGTGCATGCTGGGAAGAATCACACGGACTTCCTGGTGATTTTGAAGACTCTCACGGAAGTGCTCGTGAAGCGGAGAAAGGATGTGACTTATCAGCGATTGCTGGCCTTCACGAAGCGCATAATGACAGCTTCACTGCAATTGCTGCACAACGGATCGCTGGGTTGCATTTGCGTGGCCAAGAATATGCTCCAGCTCACCTCTAAATCCGTGGACGTTCTGCTGGACACAGAGACATTCGTCGGATCCGGAAGATACGATCCAGAACTACTTGATCCGGAGTACTGCAATGCGAATTGTACGCTCTTGTACGAAGTGTCCGCCCTAATGAGACACTATCATCCGACGTGCGTAAAGATGGCGAAGCATCTGGCCTCGGGGGCGCCCATGAGCGGCGATGGGAGTCTCAGTGTCGACGTGGCGAAATTGTAAGAACCCCTCATTCATTTGTTTGCGTGGTTATTATACAGTTTGTGCGCTCTTTTGCATGCCAAATTGTATTCCTCGCAGAAGAATTTGTCATACTATGAATTCACAGTGGAATTTGTCCTTTGCAGAGCCCCAGAGGAGTTATTTGAGCAATTCGACAGCTCCACGATGGCATTCAATCCGGCCATTCCGCCGCCTCGCATGAAGGATGCCAAGAATGCCAAGGGAAATTTCTTCTTCCGTGACGACACACTCAAGGCGCAATGCAGCTCTGCCCTGAGACATCCTGTAAAACCGCTGAAATCCACTAATATGGTCGACTTTTGTGCTGATCTGTGCAACAGAAAAGTTCCCTAAGATAAGATAATGTTTCTTATTAAATAGATATTGCTTTATAAATCAATTAAAAAAAGAACCGATAAAGCGTTACTCTCTTGATGATCAATTAGGCAAATTCTCAGGGACGGAAAAAGAAGTTCAGAGACAAGACACATATTCTGCCTTTTGTTAGAGTTTCTTTTATTATCAATTACAAAAGAAAAAAGTTAAATCGTAAAATACTCTTATCATTCAACTGAAGGACAAAAATTGAATGACGACGAAGTAAATTGCAAATCAGTGCCTTTTGCTAGAATGTCTACACATAAAATGATTTTCTCTTGTATAATTCCTACTACGATTTCTCATAAAATCTTTTATCTATGCTGCACTATATATCTTTGGTTTTATCTTCGCATTAAAATTTTATTTAAAGACTTAAATCTTGCTTCACTCTCTATGCCTATAAATTACAATTACACTTTTAATCTTTTCGCTTATATGCGCTTCTCTATGGTATAGAATTTGCGGATCTAGAAACTACTGATAAACCTTATCATTGCTCCCTTTCGCACCCCAACACAGATACAGACACGCGGCGGAATTAATGGGCACTGCAAATGTTTTATTGTTATACTTTATGCTTAATTCGTGTGACTACTGAAACATCTCTTCCTCGTATAATCTGACTTTGTGACCCTTTGGCGACAATGCCAAATGTCAGGAGGGACAAAAAGCTAAAATCCTTCATAATCTAAACGCTAAATCTGACAGTCCTGTGATGAAATTCACAGACGCACAATCTTATTTTCCCTTATTTTACACAATACAATCGGTTCAGTGCAATGTGAGGTTGTTTTTTTTTATAAGTTTATTAACTGACACATAATCAGCCTTTCCAACTTTTCAATCAAGCCCACAATTCCACTGAACCTCCTCCAAAGCCTTGCCTTATCGCTTACTCTTGATTTCAAACTTAAGTGTTAATATTATCCTTAAAATACCTGTCTTAAATGCAAATTGATTGATTCAGGAGGTAAAATGAATATACCTACACAATCTATGCGACACTTTTTCGCTTATCGACCAATTTAACGTCCTGCACATGGAGATTGTGCTTCGACTTGGCTGCAAACTTGATCACAGCTTGGGTGGGCACTTGGGGCACATGCCTCAGGTCGAGACGCGTCAGCGCCTCACATTTCTCCAAATAATCCAGCGAGAGATCCGTCACGAGCTTGCAACTGCTCACGTTGAGCTCCACCAGTGTGTTTATGGCACTCGTCGACGTGCCGATCTGAAAGATTCCCGCATCCGTGATTCGCTGGCACGACGAAATGTCCAGGGTGAGGAGTGAGGGCAGTCCCTGGGTGATGTAGCGCAGCGCCACGTCTGAGATCTCCGTGCCGGCCAGCTTCAGTGTCTTCAGATTCCGCAGTCGAGACTTGGAGTCCGTCAATCCCGGCCGCGAATCCTTGGGCGGCGACAGAATCTCCCTGATGGCGGAATCATTGAGGCCCCGCACGAAGCTGAGATCGAGAATTTGCAGCGGTGGACAGAGACAAGTGTGCAGGCCAACAACCGCTTGGATTGGCGTGCCCTGAAGACTGATGTTCTTCAGTCCCGGAATCCGAGCAATCACCCACGTGAGCTGCCTCTTCGCCAAGCTCGTCCAGTCGAGGATCAAGTGCTCAGGCTGTCGCCTCACGATTGCCGTCAGAAGACTGGCAGACAATTTGTACTGAGCGCAGTTCATTCGACGCCACAGCGACGGATCCACCGACACTGTGGACCAAATCTTGCACACCAGCGAGCACGTGATCAGCGCCTCGGGCGCCAGATATCTGAATATGGCCAGCAAGCATGTGGGATCCAGCGCATAGTGTCCCGTCGGCGAGGGAGTCGTTCCTCCCGCCTGCGCCGGCCTCACCACGTACACAGGCTTCTTCAGCACCTTCGTGGACGAGCTGATGATCTGATGCGCCAACTGCGTCCTCAGCGAGGACTTCTTTCTGGGCACGCTGTGCTCCACCGTCTCCACAGACTCATGCATGCTGCTGCACATGCTCTGGCCATCGTCGCTCTTCCTCCGCTTCACAATACTCCCGCCACTCAAGTGATCCTGCGTCGGCGAATTGAGATCGTGCTCCTGCTTTATCTCAAACTTTATCGGCGTATTGGAGCTGTTCGACGGACTGATCACTCCCAACTTCCTGATTGTAGACTTGCCAGGTGTTTCAGAATCTGATCCACTAGACATCCCACCAAAATCCCCGTGAGTTTCCAGCGATGGCTTGTGATCCACAGCCGATGAGGCGTCACTGCTGATGGACATTCGACGAATCTCCGATGACTTCTGACGAGCACGGAAGTGACGTGGCTGCAAAAGTCACAGATTCTTAGCATTTTGACACCCACTAAATCATCCACCAACTCACCTTGTAATCCGTGTTCTTGCCGGATTTGCAGCAAATCGGACACTCCCAGCTGTTGGGCAGATCCTCATTCACAATTCCACTGATGTTGGGCGCGTGCCGCTGAACACAGTCCGGATGCGTGATCTCGTAGCACACTGAGCACTCCATCAGCGACGATGGGCCCTCCAGGGAGGCCTGGAGCTTCGCTTGTGGTGCCACCGGCGTCTGACGCCATCCGTCGAGGTGGCAGTAAATACACTGCGCCGTGACGGGGAGCATCGGCTGCAGACACTGCCTCATCATGCACGTCTGCTTGGCGCGTCCTGGTCCCCCAAACTTCACCATGTCCAGACAGAAGCTGCACTCCCCACAGTCCGATCTCTGACACGCCTCGCAGGCCTTGCAGCGCGTCCGGCGTCGTCTCGGGCCGCCGGAGTTGTTCTGATTCGGCTGGGAGCGCTGCTGAACGCCCTGAGGGAAGGACTGCTTCTTGTACGGTCCTCGCGGGCCAGCGCGATTGGCCGCGGCGCTCGGCGGGAGGAAATCACCATGCTGATGGCTGGTGCTGGTGGAATTATCGCTGCTGTCCACACCGAGATCATACGAGGACATCGTGGCGGAGTCCGCAGTGCTCGGTTCTGCCCTCAACACTGGACGTCCTGTGATGGCGAGCTCAGGACTGTCTTTGCAGTGTCTCTCCACCAGCGTTCTCACATCCTTGATCAGCGCCACAGGATCCTTTATCAAGTCCGGCACGTTCTTCTTGTTCGGTGGCAAGTCATAGAGGTACATGACAATTTCCTTCAGCCCAAACAACTCGTAGTGCGTGAGGTGGATGTGCACTCTGCCGGTCAGCTCCTCCACACGATCGGACTCACCGTCGAAGTGAGAGCGTCCCAGCAAAGTGTACACGTACTTGGCCAGGACATACCACAGCATCTCAGTGAAGAAGGGATAGCGGAACTTCTGGGGAACCTTCGTCGAGTCCTCCACTTGGGCAATCTTCAGCTGCTTCACGATGCCGAAGGAATGGAGGAAGTTCCCGCCGAAGACCAGAGAATCTGTGGGCGTGTAGACAGCGTGAATCCACCCGGTGGGGATGAAGAATGTGTTTCCCGCCGTCAAATACACTCTGGCACATTTCTCCACTGTGTCCCCAAAGAAGATGTCCGACTGCTTGCCGGACAGCACCCACTTCTCGTACAGCGCGAGGTTCTTCTCTGTCGGCGGAATCAGCCAGAAGACCTTGCTGCCCTTCAGTATGTGATACCACACCGAAGTGCCGCCAAAGTCCACGTGAAAGTCCGTGTAGCAGTTCTTCACGGACATGAGACAGTACTTCTGCACCTTCGGGTACATCATGTCATTGAGGGAATTTGTGCCCTCCACCTGCGCCTCCTTCAGCTGCTTCGGCCACACCACATCCACCCAGTCGATCTGCCTCACGAGCTCCGGACTCTGGATGTAATTGTCCAACTTCGTGTGCGAAAACTCTAGCGAGATGACATTCAGCAGGCGCGTCTTCTCCGAATCCTCATAGTACTGTTGCCACTCCTTCATTGTCATCTCCAGATTCTTCTGCGTGTTCACATCCATCACGTCCAGCACTCGCTTGCTGCCCACGCACATCCTCACGTCGTTGATGCTGAAGAAGCACGATGGCACGCGCAGTCCCAGTCCTGTCTTCTCCTTGAACAGGAGCGGAATGTTGAAGCCGTACTGCTGCAAGTGTCTACAGGAGAGAGAATTCAAGTCAGTCGAAGGAGGAGTGGAAAACACCAAAACCTCTCACTCACGCAACAGTCAAGTCCGATCCCTGCATCTCACGCACCATTCCGGCCTGCGCAAAGCGTGGCGACTCCAGCTTCTCGGCAACACTAAATCCACGTCCACCCTCGTACTCATCGTCAGCCAGAGCCCATTCCTCCGAGTACAGCTTTCTCTGTTTCCTCTCGCGCTGCAACACAAACAACACATATAGAGAATTGTTTAGGGAAAACCATAGTGAAAAGTGAAATTCTTGCAAGGTAAAACAGCTGCTCAGCAACAGCAAATCGTTCGCCAATTGGGGTATCACACTTGCCAACAGTCATACCATGCTTAAAGCACCGGTTCTCGTTCGATCACCGAAGTTAAAAGGCATCGGGCGCGGTTAGTACTTGGATGGGGGACCGCTTGGGAACACCGCGTGCCGTTGGCTTTATTTTATGGCCAAATTGAGTGAAATTTGAATCAAGGAACCGACAAAGATGAGTGTTTTTAAGGAAAACCCCACCAGGATAAGGCAAATAATCGGGATTTGTAAGTGAGATGGGCTTTGAAGATCAATTTTTAAGGGTTAAATTGGCAAAAAGTCGGTTTTATCGAAAAATCAATATCTTCAGTGGATTACCTATTGATAATTTTGAATTTTGAGGATTTTCCGTGGAAACTCATTTCAAAGATCAAAGTGAAATATACTTTTCTCTGTGTGAATATCCCACAAAAGGAGATTGTTTAAAGTCCTTAAGCTTCAAAAGCAATCACTTGCACTAGCTGTGACTTGTTGATAGAGCCCTCTCTGTCTCACTGGGAAGCAAAACGCTCTCTTCCGTCTCTCCCCGTCCCACTCGGCAATTTCCTTACTCAGGAAGTGTGTCGGGCTTGAGCGCGCCCCTCTCGGAATTTATGCAAATCCTCATTAGCTGCAGTCGCCCAAGGATGCACTTGCCCGAAGGAGGAGTCTCCGTCTCCCTCACTCCCGCGGGCTCTTCGCGGACGCTCTCGCTGGGGGAGATTTCCAGATAATTTGCTGAGGATCAATTAGCAAATCCGGGAGCTGCCTGTGCCAGAGCGAGAACGCCGGGGATGCGCTTGGTGCGAGCGAGAGCACACGAGAGCCCGCATTGTTCTCTCACCCTGAGTCAGCGAGAGAGTTCTGAGTGAGCGCGACAGAAGAGTGCCGGACGCCGTGCGCGCGAGCGAGACGACCGGATGTCACTTGACGCAAGTGTGGGGCGAATCTCGAGCGGGGCCACCTCGGTTTTCAGATTCACCTCGACTGCTGCGGCGGGCAGTAATTTCCATGCAGACGCCGCAGAGGCACGTCCTCTGCGCCAAATTGGCCCGTCGATGCCCCGAACGGGGGCCCGCCGCGCCACCAGCGCGTACGCCAATGCGTGGCCCCACCCGAGACGCCGCGGCGACCAGAGATTGGCGAATGACAAAAGAGTGCACTTGCTCCCGTACATTATGGCGTCGACGAGAATTCCATTGTACACACACCAAAAATTCACAACTCACCAACTGTCTCCGGTTGTGGTGGCTTCGTGTGGGCGACACGGTGGAGTCCGACATCGCCACAGCAGCAATTTCGCACAAATCCACCGACTACGGCACCGCGGGCGACTCTTTCACGCCGATTTTAGCACGTTTGAGGAGGAGACCCGGGCAGCTGCGATGTTTCTGGGAAACAGCTCCACACCAGCAATAAACACGTCCTCTCGCAGCAATGGCTACGCCATTAATAAAAAAAAGAAGCGAACGGCGGCGCCGAGTGGCCGCGAAGAGGCCAACTGTGCTACGCCGGACGGACCCGGAGCCACACGAAGTGGCGGAATGTGCCTTAGGTGAAGCGAATAGGCTCTTACTGAGCGTCTTCGCTAAGCCATCTTGCGGAGAATGGCGACATGATGTCTGAGGCATTTAGAAAAATTTCCCGCTCTGCACTCATAAAAAGCATGCTGAATTTTCTATCAGGATTCGAACTCTATTGAATTAGAGCCATTTTCTAACATATGTACAAAACAACGAAAGAACAAATAGAAAAATACTTTTGATACAAGATAAAAGGGTAGGTAAAAATGGTAAAATATTGTTGTTGATATTTGATGATAAAAAGGTACAAAACAAGAGCATTTAGAGATCAGCATGGTTAATAAAACACTTAATGATAGCTAATAACGATTGAGAAAACACGATCAGATATGAAGTAAAAAACCTTAAAACCGGACTAAAGCTTCCTTGTTTCCAAATTGCGCTCAGCGATAATTTAATTGAATACACGATAAAGATCTTTTTCACAAGAAAGAAAGATAAGTATGTTGTTAAGTCATTCGTGGATGATGACAAACTTGTGGGGAGTCTTTTGAGACGCTGCACGAGGAAGAGGAGCGCAGCCCAATAAATAGTTTGGTGGCTTCGCGGCCGAGATCTTTTGGATTGGAGTGACTGCGGCTGCAAGAGAGTGAGAGTTCCGCTTCGCTGCCTTCCGACTCCCACTTTGGCGGCGCTTCCGGCTCGAGTGCCTCTCCTTTGGTGCTCGCAGCCAAGTCAGTCTGAGTCGGATCGCTTCGAGTGACGGTTGGAGTGTTGTTTTGACTTGCCCGGTTCCCTCGCCACCTCAAGTGTACTTCCTGCCAGCGCCTCGCGTTCGCCGTGCACCTCAGAATGCAGTGGAGGGTGAATTCATTGGTTCTGTTTCAGTGAGAGAGAGACTCCGGAGTTTGTGCAAGAATTTCCACAGCGCCGAAGAGCGCACCTCAAATGTGAAATAGCAGTACTCAAAGTGGATTAATTCGATTCGAAACTTGAGAATTTATGTGAAGTGCGTCTCAGCGACACCCACACTTTTCGGGTGACTGAGGAGAGCCGCCGAAAGGGGGATTTTTCAGCACCTCGCCGCTCTGGGTCAGAGAAGAGGCCCAATTAGGCGCCGCTCAATAGGTAATTTGAGCCATTATCGCTAATGAAAAGAGAATCCGAAAGACAGCCGCGGAATTTGCCGCTAATAAGGAGGGAAGAAATATTTTTTTGAGAAATTGTATCGCACGCTTTCATTGTAAGGGAACAATTAAAAAACTTTCATTCAACACAGTCAGCTTTAGACAATAATTTATTTGGTCATTATTGTTTTCTTCTTGCAAACATCAAATATCACTCACTTTGTGATGTTATGAAGGGAGTCTCTTGGCGTCATATTGCAGACTTTTTTTTTTACAATTTTCCAACCACCGAGACACAAAAGTGTTAAATGACGCTGAAACGACTTTCAGTGCCATCAGAGAGACATATTAATTAAGGCAGACACAGAAAATGCGTATAATGCTTATTTGATTAATGAGAAATCCCTTTATTTGTATTCTTTTTGTGGTAAATTTGGCGGAAAATCATTGGCAGCGCCGCGAGTGAAAAGCCATTGAGATGCGCCGTATAATTAAAAATGAAAATCTCGTGGCAGTTTATAAACAAAAGCCTCGCTCTTTAGCTCAATTCCAAGAAGTAGAGTGCAAAATGTGAATTTTACAGCACTTATCATCGCCCTTCAATGGAAGAGCAGTAAATATTTTGATGATAACAAGGAAAGTTTGAAATATGAGTTTACTTAAAGAGGGTAAAATGAAAGAAATACTGTGATACTTGGAATCTTACTTCCCATTGTTTTGGTTTCTTGCAGATCTTCTTCGCGGGAATTCTTCAGCTTCAAGCCAGACTTCAGCTGTGACTCAACACGTGACTTATGGTGACTTAAAGAAGGGATTATTAATGAGGATACCTGAGTCACATCGCAAATTGTACATATACGACAGAAAATGATGCTGATTAATACACTTCCGGAGCTTTTGATTCTTCTGTCGCTCGCAATTGCCGCTCAAGGTGAGTGTCATCATCCAGCCAGAGCGATGAAATGATATGTTAGGAAAAACACACGACGCATGGAAAAGAGCACGATGGAGCCCCATCAAATGCAGACCGTGGAAAAATTTCTTTTCAGTGTCACAAATGGCAAAATAGCAATTCTTTGGCGATTGACGGGAAGACGAGAGAGTTTAAGATGAGGTATTAGCAAAATGCGTAGCGCGAGAACAATGGGGGAAATGATGCAAAATTAGAAAACTCATGAATTTTTGACTTTTTATGTGTGAAACACCAATAAAAATTGACTTGAAATGTGAGTCTCTGAATGAGCTCATCGAGAGACCACACAGGATTTACGCCTCACAGAACCATCCAAAAAATTCGACTCACAAGACAGACGAACCTTCCGCATCGCTCCCACCAATTTTTTCACCATCTGCGCGTCGCTCGCGGAGCGCAAGAACAAATGACCTGATGAGGTAATTAAATGATTAGAATTCCCACTCACTCTCGTTCTCGTTGAAAGTGAAGAATTGTGAATGGCATTCTTTTGGGCGAAAGACTTTTCCCACGCTCAGATTCGCACTGGCTCTGGACAATCCAATTAAAAAGTTCAAGTGCCTTCTTTTTTGGCAAAAGAAGAACAATTCGGCTTTCTAAACATTCCCTCTTCCTATTCATCTTCTGTTTGTATTTGGATGACGTATCATTAAGTCTTGCCATGACGAGGAAGACATTGTCAATGAAGGTGCGCAATTTATGTAGAGGAAACACCATGCGAAGTTGCTGGAAAACAGTAATTTGCTCTAATGAAGTTTATGTTATAAAATTACGCGTCAAGAGATGATGCTCAATATGCTGTAAAATCTAGACAAGAAATTGAATATTGCACTTATTTGAGTTCATGCTCAGGATGCAATTATGCACCATTAACAGTCTCACAGGGGAGAAAGCAAATTTTCATAAAATCATTACTCAGACTCAAGAGTTTCTACATTAAATTTACGCTGAGAAGACTCTTTTCAAGCTTTAATTTTCCTTATAATTCAGTTTGTTTCATTGAAAACAGGAGAATAGAAATAGTTTATCTACAAAAGAAAATCAACAAATCCACTCTGGATTGCTGACAATTTAATGGTAGCATATTGAAGGCGCTCCAAAAGAGATTTACACATTGCAAGCGTATTCCGTGGCATGTTCTGCCAGTGATCCAGGAAAAGACACACACCTGCCGCGCTCTCCAGGCTTCCGTGAGCATTCTAAATGCCAGAATAGTGGTTCCTGTTGAATGCCCACCGAAAAGCTCGACAGTGTCACCTCTCCAGATGAGGTGACACGGGCACAATCCGGAGGGCGAGAGCCTCTTCAATGGGTGCCATCGAGTGGGGTCATCCACCGGCAGAACCATTAGATATGTCGCATGTCTCTCTCCCTCTCACCAAAGGGGGTTGATTTCTCTGTGTCACTGTTGATTGTGCGATAAAAAACGGAAATGTATTTCCAAAAGTGTCTCAATCGCCGTGAATTGCACCACATTTCCCCCATGATTTTTTCCACAACTATTTGTGGAACAATTATAGCGGCGATATAGTGAATGTGTGTAATGTTGGTAAATAATAATCGTGAGTGAGGGAAAGCCGACTCGTCAATTATTGATATCTGGCGGAGACATAATTGATGACATGGCGATAAGCCTGAATGCTAAGTTTAATGCAACTCTCTAGACTATTTTATAGGCTATATTCAATGGAAAAGTTACCCCTAAAAAATTGGAAAGCCTTCTTTGAAGAAGGATTGCCTTAAATATTCCTCTTCCGCCACTTAAGAATCCCTTACAAATGCATTCAGCATATGTGTAGATGTTGCGGAAGTGATTCTAGCGGAGAACCCCGTGTCCCTTCCTGTGCTGGATAGCTTCCTCGGAACGAGGGGAGTCGTTTTACATTTGATTTCCATGCCAACACACTCCCCTTCTCGCGTGTGAATTGTAATGGAACTGGAGACTCTTTTTTGCCGTTTCGCTGTTTATTGGAAAATAAAAACACGGCGGTGGCTTTTTCCTCTCGCCTCATTGTGGTAGGTGAGCAATTGGCCAGAAAAGACAATGTCCAATACTGGACAGATTTATTGGCACTTGCCGGTCGGACAGCCATTGGGGCGGAAAGTGTGATTATTCGGGAAGAGTTAGTCCCGCGTTCGCTATATATTTGCTATTCATTGACTCGTTCAATCATCACATAATACGGGATTTGCTCTCTTTTCTTCACCTCTCTTGTAATTCCGCCAATTCACACCCGGCAGAGCTTTATTGAATTCAAATCCGACGCAATGATCAGATTTGAGCATGAAACGTGATCTAATATTCCTTGATCGGTGAAAATAATAATAGATATATGGCGAAAAGGGTTCAAATCATTGACACGTTGTTATATGGTTTTGGAAGAAAAAAAGAGCCCAAATGAGGGCCTCATTGGATTTCTCTTTATGACTATTTCGTTTTCTTCAACAATTGACCGCACAGGTTGTTATTATTCTGGTGGAAAGTCTTTTGTCGCGGTTGCGATATTTTTTCCTTTCATCACGAAACGCATACGATTTTTTTCGGAAATTGCACAACACTTAATTGGCATCTAATTATTTATTATTTATATATTGCCATTCTCCTCCTCTGCATCTTCTGATGTGTATTGAACTCTAATTGACTCCAAATGGGATTCCCTGTTATTGTCTCGCCTGAGCCACTCTTCTGCACACCGTAATGCCAAAGCCCCCTTGTTTCCGGATGGCGCAGCCATGAGATGCGTGCAATGTCGCCAAGTTGCAGCGTTATGCAATGCCGGATGATATGCAAATACGCATAATATCGCAAGTAATGCCGATCAGTGCGCATCGTGATTGAGCATTTGGGTTAAAAGTGCGTCATCACGGTCGGATTTGGATCACTCGAGCCCAAAAATTACACTAGAGCGTGACGATATCGTCGACTGGCTTCTAATATGCTGGAAGAACATATACACACCTTGGAGGAAAAATTGTGGCAAATGATTTGCCGCCATCGTCTGTGACCAGAGTTGTTAAAGTGCATGTAAGGAAACTCTAGAAGCGCCATAAATGATTCGATTGATTTGTGGAATGTGGGAGAAAGGTAAATTCCTGAAGAGAGTTTTTGATTTGCATAGGAAAATCCCATGAAAAGGATTTTTAAAGAGTCAACAAACCCATCTTCAATCTTCAAATCTTCGAACGTCTCAACTCTGCACCCCTGGAAAATTTCTCGTTACAACGAGTTGAGCCAAATTAACTGTTGCCTCCACTTTGTGGTGTCAGCACAATGCAACTGATGGCGAATTTCTCTCGGCACTTTCAGGTCAGCCGGCGCTCCTGGACTCGCGCTGCTACTTGGACGGCGGCGGATCAGCCGAGAGCTTCCTGGCCAGCGAAGACGTGGCCGTGGGCGCCGTGATCGGCAAGTTGCGCATCAACGGCGATCCCAGTCCGGAGCATGGTGACATCAAATTGTCTCTCCGTGAGCGCGATTCGCCGGTGGCGATCGCTCCCGGCTCCAAGGACATCGTGCTGGTGACACCGCTGGACAAGGAGGGTGTCCGAGGTCCATCATCGGTGTACGTAAATGTGATTTGCGACCGTAGACACAGCAACGATCCGGTGAGTTTGGCTCACTTCTTGAGGCCGCAATTTCCAACGGTTGGCGCGCTGATTTATTTGGTAAAATGAAAAGAATTCATGCTTGAGGTGCGTTCGAATTCGTTTTAGTTTTGAAAGATTGCCAGATTCATACTGACGATATATAGCTTTGCAAAGCATTTTTTCACCTTTACTATTGCAGATGGTTACGGTATTTGTTTATCCGCGTCTGCTGGGGAGCGCATTATGAAATTTTTGCCGACTTTTTTTCTGTATATCGCACACATTCGATGCCATTACACTTTTTTGTGGACTTTCACTTATTTTTTCGGGGTGATTTTGATCTGCATTCGTTACCGTGATCTGTTTTTTTTTCTTTGCTTTGCACGTCAACATCTTGTATACACTTATTATTGGATTAATGCGTGTAATTTTTGTTGTACTTAATAACAGAGTTTCGTCATTCCGGTGAACATTCGAGTGACGGATGTGAATGACAACGCGCCTCAGTGGGTCGGGGCGCCCTACTCCCTCACCCTGTCGGAAGTCACGGTCCCGGGAACGAGGATTCTCCAAGGCGCCAGAGCAATGGACCTGGACCAGCAGGGCCCGTTCTCAACGGTGGAATACTCAGTGCTGCCTGGACCACACTCAGATGTCGTGTCCTTTGTCAGTCCTCTGGAAGGCACCTTGATCCTGCGGAAACCTCTGGACTACGAGACACTGAAGAACTTCACAGTGAAGCTGCGCGCTCAGGATCAAGGCACACCTCCTAAATTCTCAGACACAACTCTGAGAGTCACAATCACGGATGCCGATGATCAGAATCCCAAGTTCCTCAAGGAGTCCTACAGGGGCGATCTGCCAGTCGATGGAAAGACCGGAGAACTGCAAATTCAGCCTGAGCCTATAAAGGCATTGGATCAGGATGAGGGCCTTCGAGCCACTCTTCAGTACTCAATTGCTCCTTCTCCAGAGTCGAGATACTTCTCAATTAATGCCAGAACTGGTGTGATCTCCTTGACCACACCACTAAATCCAATAGACGTGGCTCAGACAGTTACATTGGTCATTAAAGCTACTCAGCTCGACAATCCCGATCGGTACGCTTTAACGACTCTCGTTCTATCTCGACGAGACTCCAAGCAAAGTGGCGCACAGCTCGCATTCCTCCAGCCTCGCTATCATGCTCGCGCTAGAGAGGATTTGGGCGCAGGGAGTCGCATCCTCGTGCTCACGACAAATCGTCCTGGACGCACTCTTCGCTACCAGATCCTAGACAAGACGCAGGCGATGATCTTCTCGGTCTCCAACATGGGAGAAGTGTTGCTGCAGAAGTCGCTGGACTATGAGAATGCCACTCGCCACACCTTCGACGTGAGAGTGACGGATGGCGTGAGCAATGCCACGGCCCAGGTGACAGTGGAGGTGATTGACGTGAATGACTGGGAGCCGAGATTCCGCGAATCTCACTATGAGTTCGTTGTCCCCAAAGCGATGCTCACCGCTGAACCTGTGGCACTGGGCAAGCTCGAAGCGGCCGACGGAGACCGAAACGACAGGATTGTGCTGGACCTTAAGGGATCCCTGGCGGATCTCTTCAGCATTGACTCCAGGGGCGTTCTCTGGCTGCGCCGCGAGAAGCCCAACGTGACGATGGTGAATCTCATTGCAACGGCCACGGACAACGGCCAGCCGCCCAAGAGCACCTCAGTTCCCGTGTCAGTGAGGATGGAGGGCCTGGCGCTGGCCCAATCCACTTGGGCTCCAGGAGTGCTGGGCGCCTTTGGCGTGGTGCTGTCACTCTTCATTCTCGCTACCATCGGACTCTCCATTTACATTTACAAAAGGTGAGGTGAAAGTTTCTTTCCACTGGCTAAATCCATTATTCAATTCAGAGTCACACTGAAGTCTCTTCAAGTTAAAGAGTCTCTATGGTAATTCACTTGGATGATTCCTTGGTCAGAAGACAATCTAGACGGGAAGTCCATTGAATTTGAGAGAACGCGTTTTTACTTTTTTGACAAATAACGAGAGTCTTTCTCCAAAAAAAATGCTGTTGTTGATTATCTTAATTGGGAATAACAAATAGTGAGTAATAATACAATTTATAGTACCGAAAAATCTCATATGAATCAATTGGCACTGTTGCACAACTACAGGAAATTAAGGTGAAATAACTGAACGCAAATGCATAAATTGTTGTTTAAATTTGCCACATTCCGTGAGTGAAAAGCGTAAGAAATCTCTTCAATTTTATTATTAATTATACTGATGAATTGAATCATTTCAGCAAAAATCCCAAAACTGCCAACAGAATCCACAGTCAGGCCAACAGCACAACCTCTGCATCGAATCTCGTGAACAACGAGAAGAAGTCAGGAGTTGCGGCTGGTCTTCAGTTGGCTGGAGGCAATATGACACTGGGAAACCCGATTAGAGGCGGTCACGGAGGATCGGGAAGCAGTCTCAGTGTTGGGGCATCCACAATATTGGCTGCCAGCCTCGAGAGAGAGGCTCAAAGAGAGCGGGAGCGAGAGCGTGACAACTACACAGCGACTGTTAGAAGTGAGTAACAATCAATTTGGAGCCTAGCTTCCACACTTACCCTCTTTCTCATGTTACAGGCATAATCTCGAGAGCTTCAGCTGCGAGAAATGGCCTTTACGATGGCGATATTGAGAGGGATTCCATCTCAAATCCCGACATCGCGCGAACAACCTGGGGCGAATCGGCGTCGAATAACAATTTGGCGAGGAAGAAATTGAGTTGGAGTGGAAATGGTGACGCCGGCAAGAACGAAATAGGTTCCTTAGACAATATCGGTGGTTCCACGGAGAACAACCTGACTGTCTACTTCTGATACTTTCCATCTGCTCAAGCATTTACTTGTGATTCCAACGAACTCATACAACAAATCGAGATTGTCGCCAAAGGTGTGCTTTTCCAAACAATTTACACGTTGTACCAGTATTTTTAAGTGTAAACTCATTAGATTGATAGACTTAAATTAGATTTAGAGCAATTGCTATGTATATTATTTGTAAAAAAAAAACTCGAAATGAATACTTTTAGAGTAACGGACGGTAGCACGTGTTTCTGTTTGAGTATTTGAATTGTCCCAAGTTGTCCCAAAGAGCGAATACCCGGCCATATTTCGCCACGTCAAACTGTCAGTGCGGAAAACGCTGAGTGTCGCAAGAAGTGTTTACTTTCTGTGTTTTGTTCTGAAATACCTCAATTAATTCCTCGAAAATTGTGATAAAGTGCTCAATTAAGTGTCGAAGTGGTAAGTTAATAGATGAGAGTCGAGATGGACTTCAGAGTTGATAAATATTGCATATTTTCCGCATGATTTCCAGCCGTAACCTAAATCCGGAGTCGTTGCCATGGATTTCTCCAGTAAATAACACATCTCCCTGGACATCAAGTCTCCCAAAACATTGATTTAGCGTCAGAGGACTGGATTCTCTAGTGCAATGCATTTTAAAATCTTCACAAATGTGATAACTCTGGTGTACTTCTACGTGAGACCTCTCGTCAAGTGGTTCCTGCACAAGTTCACGAAGCTCTGTGAATTGCAGAGGATTTGCTATGGCGAGCCCACAGGGGCTCCGCGTGCTAAGAGCGTGGAGCGCTGTCTGGAGCTCTCTCGGAACAAGCAAATTGTGGAAATGATGAAGGTTCTCAATGAAATTGTCGAGACGGAGCTCACTGACGAGGACTTCTTCGCCGATGTGACCGATCGCGCCTTGGCAACGGTGTTGAGGGTGAAGAAAATCAAACCCAGGGTGCATCCTGACTTCCCGGCAGCCTTTGAGATGTGTGTGGAGCAGATTTGGGGCTACAGAAGGCTGTATCACGAGGTGGAGCGTCTCCGGAAGACACCTTATGACTGTGACAATCTCCAGCACGAGGCGAAGCTGAACGAGCTGTGGCAGCTGCTGATGCCAGAAGTGGAGCTGGAAGCGAGGGTGACGAAGCAGTGGCAAGACATTGGCTTCCAGGGCGATGATCCCAAGACAGACTTCCGCGGAATGGGAATGCTGTCTCTCGAAAATCTGCTCTTCTTCGCCAGAGAATACCACGGAGCCGCTCAGCACGTCCTCTCGCACTCGCACCATCCCAAGCATGGCTACACCTTCGCCGTTGTGGGGATAAATCTCACCTCGATGGCGTACAATCTGCTGAAGAGCGGAGCAGCGAAGACGCACGTGTACAATGCCGTTTACTCCACGCCCAGCATCAATACATTCCACCACCTGTACTGCTATCTGTTTTACGAATTCGACCGATACTGGATGGAGTGCAAGCCCAAGAACATCATGGAGTTTTCGCACATTCAGGAGAAATTCGAGGCAAACGTTCTCAGGGAGTTGTCCAACAATAGTACAATCTTTAGGATCAACCTTTCCATTGACAATATCTGAGAGAACTCCGATACACGATCTGCGAAGGTATGTCTGCTCATTGTGCTTCAATAAAGATGTAATTTATTCAGGAGAATATTATTTATAAGCATACTTATGTGGAACATGGAATTTAATTCAGCTCATTTCGCAATTAATTAATAAGCTCATTACTATTTTGATGACAGAATACTGAGAACGTCAAAATTTTAATTGATCTTTAATTCCGACTACTATGATTAAAATTGAGTTGGAAGACAGAACTGATAGATAATCAGAGTTGGAATGATTCATTTATATTGGATGTATTGGATATATTGGCAATCAATGGCTCTTGTCATTCGATATCAGGATAATTGAGTGAAATTTCTCTATTTGAAATGGTAATTTACTGCATATATAGATACTTGTCGGTTTTGCTGGATTTCATTTCTCAATTCTGCAACTTCAGCTGAGAACATTTAGCATAAAAATGATAGAATAATATTCTCATGGGGAGGAAAGAATAACGAAATCATTGAGCTACTCAAGACACCTCATCATGGACACAGTGGCAGTGTTATAAACTGTGCTAAATGAGACAATTGGTGTCCCGCTGCCTTTAAAATTGCCAAGAGGGAAAATTACTTGATAAGTTGGTAAAAAGTTCAGCAAATGAAATTTTCCGGGTGAGAAAGTTTCGCACACCCACTGCACGTTACTTTTCACGAAGAACTTGCGCGCGGCAAGTTTGTGGACACTATACAATTGGGGGATGGGAGAAGGAATGCTTGAGGCCTCGAGAGTGTGTGAAGAGGTTCGCGGCAGAGAATAGATAAATTTTGTAATTTTATGCTTTTACAACTTTTGCAAGGGAGAAACGCCGCAGGCGATTCATTGTGCTGGCACTTTTCGGCCCCGGCAAAGGCACGGCGCGCGCGATGCCTTTTGGCATAAACATTGCTGCGAGATATTGTTTTCGCTTCTCTATCTTTGCACTTTTGTATTCATACAAATATTATTCTCAACACAAGAAGACACAACACAGGAGTGGGAGAAGAATCCGAATAAATTCGATTTGTGCGGAAAAGAATGAAAATAATACGGTATTGTGTGTGCAGGAGGCAAAAGGAGCCGAAAGAATGGAGAATGGAGCTGTGGGATAGAAAAATGTAGTTAAAAGGAAACTCTCGCTCGAGGTCTAATTTTTCCTCACTTCTCCGCTGCTTCCTTCCTCTTTTCTCTGGGCCCCCAGGAGAAGTGTAGAAGAATTGGACTCTCCACCCGTGCTGAAGGAGAGTTGCGGAGCCAAAATAAATTCCCGCCCACCCACCGTCAAAGTTTGTTGGGCATTTGCTACAATAAATAATAGCAAATTATTGTTTATGTTGCTGGGTTAATTTAATCTCGCATGTGGGGAGCTGAAATGCGTGCATGGACCAGAAATTCCCAACGATTTTTGCCACAGAAATCGACACTCAGCAATTCTGTGTCGAATTTCACGCCGAAAGCTTTTGCCAGACGCACCAGAAATCGATGGGGCGGAAAAGTGGAGGAGGATGTTAGGACTAAATCTCTAGGTGATTTTTTTTCACCCAACTTCCTGATCTACTCCAAACTCAGGCGATGGTAACATCTTCAATCTCTCAGTGTTCAATCACTTACCTTCAAGGGTATCCAAACACTCTTTGCAAACAACACCAAAAATCTTGCCTTTTTGCTGCCTTTTAAATCCACTCTTACGGCAAGAAAATTTGTGTGAACAAACTCCGTAAAGGCGCAAGAAATCAAAAGAAAATTGTTTTACAACAGCCTTTTGATTTGAAAATCACTAATTTAAGCTTAATTCGACGATTTAATTATTTGTGAGCATTTTACATTACACAGAGATGAAATCAATTACTCAAATATTCATTACCCTGTTCAATGATGAACTCACAATTTACGGTAAAATAATAATGCCCTTTTGCATTAGTAAATTTGCATTAGTAAATGAGGGTCTGTGAAAATTTTGTATTACATTTCAGCCATTATCATATTTCCGAATTTGTCAAACATATTTGTTGTGAGAAATAATGTGCTGAAATCATGTCTGGATATACATTAAAATTTACACTGTGCATATTGGAAAACTTTCTCATTAACACTGGCAGCATTTCAGCAGAAAAGCTTTCTTCTATTCAACGTTGATATGCTGCAATGTGTATATAATACACAAATAACATATGTATGTGCTTTGCAGAAAGTTGTGTGATAGAGAAGTGTACGCTCTTGAAAATAATGCGATTTGTAAAAGCATTATCTAAGACATGAAAATAGTATTGGAATAGTTTTGCGAAACATGAGATATTTTGCGAGAACATTGTTGTTTTCCCAACGCCTAGTTAAAATTTCATTCGGATTTGACAAGAAAAGAATGATACTTTGTGCCTCTTTCGGGTTGTAATTGTTTAATGAGACGGAAGATTCAACTCATCGAAAAATTCGACACATCACGAAAGGAGGAAAGGAAGAACGTGAAAATTACTTCAGTGTGGCGGATGTGCCAAAAATATCACCAATTTCATTTTATTCAATTATCGAGCCTTTTTCTCTCTGTTCTCCGCTTACATGCGGAAACCGCGAGGATTCGTCTCACTTGTAAACTGAGACGATTCAATCAGAAAGAATATTCCGAATGGTTGATTTTGTCTGAATGGGCAGAATTACATGGAGTAATTGGGGGAGAATGCGTGACGCAGGATTTCACCTTTTCTGCGTTTGGGGGCGAGAAAAAGGCTCTGGGCCTCCACATTAGTCCTCAATGGCGACGAGGATTTACACATCTCCCCCGCAGAGTTAATAGTGGTTGCCATTCGTGGGTGGGGAGGGGGTGAGGTTCATGCGCTGGGAAATTACGCAACTGCTCGAGGATTGAACTTTTCCCGAAAACCACAATTTAAGGAGTTCTCCGAAATGGTGTTGATTGAAAAGTTGATTATGTTCTTTGCATTTGCGAAGAAGTGTGTATGTAAATTTGGATTCCCTGGTTTCTGCGCTGTTTTATTAGTGGTCTAATGTGACAGTAATTAAACGTCACTGTCATCGTGATTGTGTGTGAATACATGAAACTTTTCAAACGTTTCATTACATTGTTCCCTCCCCTATTTTCCTGCAAGCTCTGCTCTTCTCTCGGCAATCGAATGAGCGTGTCACAAGCGGAGGTTTGTGATGGTTTGGAGAGCGTGATGCGATTTCCCTCGTGGTCGATGCCGTTTCCAGATGACTCACACAATTCTGCACTAAATAGTTGAGCATTTTCATTTAAATGCGGTCCACAACCCATGAGACCCCGGATCACTCTGCTGGACTGGCGATGGGACCGTGGCACATCCCAAAGCTTCCCCCAAAAGCTCGTATAAAAGAAACTTTGCTCGGGGAGCATCAATTAGTAGTTTAAAACTGAATTAATCACTCCCAAATTGATAATTCATGCGGAAATTTTACACTTGTACGCACAAGTTGCTCCTCTTGCAAGACTCTCCCATGGGAATATTCAATTTTTCACAGAGACAGCCCTCAAGAGCTCTTCAGAAAGTTACCACAAAAGTTGTGCGTCTCATTTTATTTTTTTCCGCTTCTTTATCATGTTCCAAAACTTAGCAACTATGCGAAAATCTGGGAGATTCAAAACTTTTATTCTGTCATAAAATCCAAACTATTTGATTCTTCACTTGTTCTCACATTTTTTTCTCTCTCACTGAGTATATGAATTAAGAAGTATAAGAAGTATTTTATGAGACTTTTCCAACTTGTCGCAGAAACTTTTTGATACGTTCGAAAATGTATTCTCAATCGTATTGTGAAAATCTTTCTTTAATCAACTCCATATCTGCTTTCTCTTGTGATTTGTTTGCATATTGTAAACTGAAGTCCATAAAATGTAGTGAAGTCAGCTTTTGGTTATCGCCAAGGGTCAAATTTGTGTCGGATTCTCAGAAAAGTGATATTTCATAACGCTCGAAGTCCAGCATATTTTCCAATTTTTATCTCATGCTGCACAATACATATTTTACTATATATCGCATTCAGTAAACACCCAGTGAAGTATCGCATTTTAATATGTTGCAAATCAGAAATGCTAAAGTGCTTTTTCCCAAGGATTGATATGCTGGAATTGGGAGTTTTTTCTGGTCACAATTTGCATACTTTAATACATTCTTGTGGATGTATTCGTTTGCACAAATGGTGTGGCAACGGAAGAAAGTGAATTTCTCACTCAAAATTTCACGGTGGAATATAAATGAATTGATTTATGTACAAAAAGTGCTAAATAATTCTATAAAAATTCAATAAAAATCCAACGATTGAAGAAAGTTTTTCCTTCATATTCCACGATTTTCCATATTTTCCATTTGCGTGTTTGAATTTATTTAGCAGAGGCAAAAAATATGTATTCTCCGAGACAAATTCAGGAAGAAGATGCTGCTGCGAAAAAGGGTTTTGCTTCTTCTGATATATTTACATAATATTTAAATATCTCCCTTCGTCGAATCTCTCCGTCTGCGATGGCGAGGAGAGTCTCAGGGTGAAGTATTGCCGCTGGAACATTCTTCGTATATAAGTGGAGGAAAATCCAAATGAATGGTAAAGTTTTCAAAAATAAATTTACTTTCGGTGAAATTCAATGCAATAACACTGGGGATTGGAATATTTTATTGATGAAGTGTATAATGGTAACTTCCACAGAGCTGTGTATCTTTCGCATTGAGCGAGAAACAAGAGCACATGAATAAGATTGCAAAATCTCATGGTACAAAAGTCTTGTTGTTTACCTTCCTTTATTCAATCATCATCAATTTATTATTGGTACTGAGGAGGAAGTTATTAATAACTTTTTTTCCTGTATATCGCACTCAAAGCCTATAATTTCTCACCGAATTGTGGCTGAACTTCCCTCTTTCATCAGATGAAAATGCCAAAGTACTCGACGGAGAGAGGTGATTTTGAACTGGATTGATGGAATTAATGAAAAACAGTGGTGAACAGGGGCGTTTTCTGAGGTTGATGGCCAGACGCGGTCTTCACGCGATCGGGCACAGCAATAGGAGTGAATTTTCAATTTCAATGCAAATATTTTGCGCCGTTTATTTTCTTTTTTGGCGAAATTCATTGAATTTAAATTTTATCAACACCAAAGGCGCAGAGGGAAAATCCCTTTCCGCACACGTAATATATGTATATGAGGAAAAAGCGGGTGAAGTTTAAGTAAATAGACCCAACCTCCTCGTCTCTATCTCTCT